AATATTTGGCTAACGTGTTGGTGAAGGTGGAACACCCCCTCAACCAGTCCATATTGGGTGTAAAGCCACCGACCTTAGTGCATGGGTCTACAGAAATAAATACCTCGAAATTCGTGAAAAACTGGATTAAAATCTATATTTCTGACTTCATTTCCATTTTAGGTTTGACCTGGCATTTTCTAACCGAAATCGATGTCAACACCAATTATTGATCAAAGTCGAGGAAAAGGTTTGTTCTTAGCCCCATATATGCGTCAGGGTCACAAAAAAATTTCTGACCCGCGAATGTGACAATGTGTCAATAAATGTCGTTCGTGCCGCGGTGAGTACTTGGCGTTCGCGTCTTCAAAAGTTTACCGACACGTGGGGGTCAAATTTTGAAGTGTGACACATGTTTTCTATTCGAAATTTAACTGGCTTTCCAATGAAATAAAAATGAAATTTATATTTCCAAAAATCAAAGCGTTCTACGCGTTTATAGCAGTAACACTTTATCTGAATAGACTGGGTATGTAGCAGTTTCGTAATGCCTAAATTTGTGTGCTTTCTCAGCCCACATTATGATTAGTCTCTCTCAACTAGCTTGGCAAATCTAAATACTTTCAATTAGCTTACGTCCTTTTGCTAGGTAGTCTACCGAAATAATGTGTCCTATTTAACCAACATCTTTCCACTCTATCGGACATATATGTTAAACCTCTTCCGATCAGCCTAGAAATCAAGATATCTTGGACTTCTTTTGCCAAATAATTTCTTTGACGCCATGGTTCACCACAACCCTGCGGTTATCTCAATCCTTCGGCATATACTGCGTAGTTTCCCGTGATAAGGTGAATCTACTCTTAAGTTAGACAATGGGAGTTTAGAGTATACTGCAAAGCTAGTGGAGGTTGTAATTTATCTAATTCATTTTTCAAAACGTATTTACATGGGGACCAGCAGGTTTAAAGCAGCTTTTGTTAAAGTGGCGAAATTCAGTAGCAATCGCCTTGAAAGTGAAATCCTCATGAATCGAGTTTTTCACAACTACAAAATCGCCGCTTGACGTCACTCGAACAAGACGTGGCAGATGTCGTAATCGGAAGAATTTTCCAAAACAGAAATTTACCTTAACATTTCGAACTACATATTACGATTAAAAAAAGTCAAATTCAAAAAACACTCCAGACCAACTCTTGTCATAGCCAACCGCCAAATCTTGAAAACCATCACAAAACTCTATCCCTAACTCCTATACGTCTTTCCGTAGCGTTTCTCGAGTACTGGAAATTTCAAAAAGTTTGTTGTGTATCATTAAAGTACATAATCGGGGGACTACAGAAAAAATAAAAAAATCAAGGTCGCCCAAAGCACGTTAAAGACCAAAAAATTGCGTTCCAAAAATGTTGCACAAACAATAAATGTTATAAAAATTATCGTCAATTGCAAGCAAAACTATGACAAAGTTGATCCCTCAAAGACTTCGAAAAACACATTTTTTCACTCAATCAACCCTGAGAATGTAGATTATCGACGGAAGTTGTTTATGAAAACTAAACTCACTGTTAAATTATTAATTAGTCATGCCACGAACAACATTGGGAAAGGCGTTCTTAAAACAGAAAACCCTCCAAATGTCCCTATTTGCGAGAAATCGGTAAGATTTCAGCTTTATGCCAAAGAATGTTCGCTCCTAGGCGAAAAAGCTGGAAAAATTCGAAGGTTAATTACAAAAAATCAGCACGAAAATTTGGCAAGCGGGTATAAAAAAGGGAAATTGGATAGTTGTTGCGTAAAGTTGGATTGATGGGAAATAATGGAGAAAGATAAATCCTCCGCTGCAAAAACTTGTTGGTATGCTTCCCACCGACACTACCCCAAAGGGTTCATAAATAACTGCCAGGTCGAATTATGCAGGTCATGGATTACAGTCCAACGTAAGAATTGATGGGGTATATTTTCTAGAAATAAGCAGATTTAGATATTTCATATTTTCAAACGTTTATATGATAGAAACCGATTTTCCAGCGTTCCATGAGTTTTGATTGCCACGAATCTGATTTCTTAAATTTTAAAATTAATTCCACCAATCGTTTCCTACAATGTTTACTTTTCATTTCACATTTCAAGCGCAAATAAGATAATGAGCTTGGGACACCTGTTTACACCACCGAATTTAGGAACCCGCTTGACCTACAGTTAGCAAAATTATTGAAGGCACCATTGACAGTCATGGTACAAATCTTAACATTTTGGCGTTGAGAAAATGTGTCATTAGTGTGAAATACATCGAGTCTGCACGAAATTTAATGGATATTTCAAAAATCACAACAGCTCATTGCTAACTGTAGCAGTTTTCACAATATCGTAGATGTAGCCAGCAAATTTTCAAAATGCATGCAAAATAATTAAGGGCACCATATCAATTTTTCATCAAAAAATGATTTTAAAGTTTGACCATTACGTTGCCAAGCTCCCATTTGCATAAATTACTGCTTGGATTTGACGTGGAATAGAATCCACCAAGTTTTTGACCACTTCCGGTCCTAAGTTCCACCATTTCTTGCTGAACATCCTTCGTAACTAATTTTTGTGTGTTGTATTAATGTCAAAAATTCTCTGCCCCAATTTGGCCCATGAATAGTCGATGTAATTAAGGCCCTGACATTAGGCAACCCAATAAAGACCGTTAATCCTAGTTTCTTCCAAGTACCGCTTCAAGATACTCGCCGAATTCTGGTGGTCCCCATACTGCTGGGAAGCAAAGTTCTTCCGAAGACCCAGGTATCAAAATAAAGTGACCAAATTGTCGCACAAAATGATCTTTTGGACTTCATTAGTTGTAATTACAACAAAAAAGTGCAATGTTTCAACTTAACCCAATGGTTAAGGGCCCAAAATTATGACATTTCCGCCACCATGTTTCACGGGCTTCCTCATAAGCTGAGGTTTCTAGACTTCCCAAGATTTCCTCTAGATTTGAACACTCCCATTGGACCCAAGTAGGTTCAATATTATATCATTACTCAAAATAATTCGTTTACAGTCGTTGCTTGTTCAATAATTGTGTGATTTTGCCCATCCGAGGTGACCCTTCATATTCTAAAAATGGATGAATGGTTTCTTCCGCGCTACTTGGCCCTTAAATAAAATTTCTCGAATTTTGTTCCTATTCATTTGAGGTGTAAAATATACTTTAAATTGTTTGTGAACTTCTGAAGTGATTTTCGGACTTAAAGTTCTCGGTGGGTCAAAATTTTACGGACAATATTTGGATCATTCCGCTCGGTGGTTGTCCTCTTCGGTTCCAGGCCTCGTACATTTCCCCTCTGTTCGAGTTTCTTTCCAATTTCTAACAATGTTTCGCAAAATACACTTCGAAAACTTAGGTTTGGAGCACTTCTTCCAGTATCCCAACCCTTTGTGGTGGAGAGCGACGACATTTTTCCTTTGATAAACCCCCGAGTCTTTCCGTCACATTTTACTCGACCTTGTCAATTTTAAAAATTGGATAATTGCATTTGGTACATCTAAAACCAATGACACTCAAAGTTATATGATAATTTTTAGCTGGGAGCTTTTAAGCAAACAAGGATATCATAAATTGATAAAGGTGCCTTCAATTATTTTGCATGCATTTTCGAAATTTTGTGGCTCCATCTATAATATTGTGAAAATTGTTAAAGTTAGCAGTAAAATGCTGTGATTTTTGGAATCCCTCTTAAATTTCCTGTAGAGTGGACATATTTAACAACAATTACACATTTCTAGAAGGCGAAAACATTGAGATTTGTACCATCACCGTGAATGGTGCCTTCAATAATTTTGCTAACTGTACATGCATACCTCTAAGCTAATTACATTTTAAAATCGGACATTGTTTTGGCAGATTTTAAAGTTTGAAAATTCAGTACCGATGTTGTCTACCTAGCATGAATGGTGATTCAAATCAGGTTCCCTTCTTTATTTGACAGGATTTTACTCAAAAATTGTGATTCGTAGTCGAAACTTACGATTATGCATATCTCGGAATCGACTTTGGACATTCACAGTCACATCGAATATGTGAAAGCTGCTATTGACAAAATATCGGTTAAAGCCTTAATTATTTTCCAACATTGGTAACTTCCTTGAATGATTATTGGGTTCTCTGGTCACCCATAAGTAATTTAGTGACATTTACGCCAAGGCAATGCTGGTTAGCCAGAAATTTTTTCTCGAATATTCGATATCTAATAAACATTAAAACCCTACATATTCGGGTGCCATATTTACACTATTAAACGACATCTGTTCAATTCGCCTTTTTGTGGTTTAAGTATGTTGATATTACTTAAATATTTGCTGATATATGCAGCTAAAACTTGAAGAATCCCGGCTGGGTTATAATGATTTCGAAGGTACTTTAATCTTTATGTTAACTAGGAAATCTTCAGGGTGGAGATAACTTCATCAATGAAATTACCATATCTCTGCGTTCCCTAAATCCGATTTGGGTACCAATCCATAAAAACAATGGTCGTTGTAGGGGTTTCAAAGGATTCGATGGCTATGTTGGTTGTAAATACACGATAGGTCCTCGTCATGATTTCTGACGCCATACGATATCCGTCTCCCCTTCTAAGCCAATTTAATGAAGTTCCCAAAAATCTGAAGAATTTTGTTCTTCCAGTGCCATTTTCAAACTTAAGTTTCCTCTTCCTCCTTTGTGTTTGTAAGACCCAAATAGTCCTTTTTGGGTGCTGGGGGGCAACTGGTTTTAATTTTTTTTTATTTTGAAGGTTAGGATAGAGTAATAATAAATAAATTTCGTAAAGATGAAAAAAGTTACTTCGAACAACTACTGGTTTTAACCGAAAGCCAAAGATCTCGTACCTGGATTTTTTAAAGCTTCCGGGGTCAATATTTCCACAACGGTTACAAATCGCTAAATACAACCAATTTGAGTAATGAAGGTACTTAGATAAGGTTGATAAGAAACCCAATCCTAATCCACTATCTTAAATAGTGGAAGCAACATATTTTAACATTTGCCAAATTTATTCATTTATTTTACTTTGTTTATTGATTTACTTTCGAGATTTTTGGTTCAAAAACTGGAACCCCTGGGGTTATTATTTTATTCGACGTACACGGGTAGTAAATAGATGCGCCAGGAAGTCAATAGTTAAGCCCGAGTCCAGTGCAAAAAGATCCGTGGCCCACCAGCCCCCAAAAAAACACCCTACTCCTTCTTGTTGGTCCTTAACATTTTTAAGAAATGAGTGTTTTTATATTTTTTGTCTTCCCAAGAACTGAGTGTTTTGTTCTACTTGAGTAATTTTAAGACATAAGTGTTCTGTTCTGCTTTAGTCTTTCTAAGACCCGAGTGTTCTGTTCTGCTTGAGTATTTTTTAGACCCGAGTGTTCTGTTCTGCCAGTCTTCTTAAAACCTGAGTGTTTGTTCTGCTTGATTCTTTCTAAGACTGAGTGTTCTGTTCTAGTTGGGGCTTTCTAAGACCCAAGTGTTCTGTTCTGCTTGAGTTTTTCTAAGACCGAGTGTTCTGTTCTGCTTAAGTCTTTCTTAGACAAGTGTTCTATTCTGCTGGTCTTTCGAAGACCAGAGTGTTCTGTTCTGCTAGTCTTTCGAAGACCAGAGTGTTCTGTTGTGCTTGAGTATTTTTTAGATCCGAGTTATCCGTTCTGCTTGAGTATTTTTTAGACTCGAGTGTTCCGTTCTGCTTGTGTCTAAGACCTGAGTGTTTTGGTCACTTTGTTTGAATTAGATCTTGCTTTTTTCTATTTTTTAAATTCTTCAAATTTTTTTAAAGAAAAAAATGTGACCAAAAAATTTGGCGGCGCAAAGCGCCGCCAAGTGTTCTCCCAACCTAGTTGGAGGATGGGTAAGAAAATGCAGGTATGGGGTTTCGCCGAAACCCCTTTGTCGAGCTGAGAAAAAGGATATATCACATGACAGGGTTCCGTTCAAATCGAAAAGTCGCCGAGGGCCACACCCACTGGGGGCGTGGCATATGACCATTTGAACATTGCTGGTAGTGCCCACGGTTTAGAGGTATTTTTTCGACATGAAGTTCGATTTTTAGTCTCTGAAATTTAGCGGTATTAATTAATGACATTTTATAATTTCTTTGACCTTGTGACCTTAATTTCGACGGGGTGTGGTCGAATTAAAAAAATCTGGAAATATATATTTCGTCAATTGACCCAAGATTTCCAAAACAGTCGCCACTTGAAAATCGGTCAACAATTAGAAAAGTAATCCGAATTTCAATTGTCAATGTTATTAAGCATGACAAAATCGGCCATTAAGCCTTTCAGCAAGAAATGTCTTTAATTTTGATTCCTGTACCAGAGGGTGTGGTTTTAACACCCAAAATACGTTCCTGTTACCATCTCAGTTTGCTGAGAAAGTCTAATGAGTGAATATACTTTAAGCATACTTGAGTGAAAGTAATTCAACTTAAATTTGATTTTTTTAACTTCAATTACTAAATGTGGGTGTGGTTGGAGTAAAGCTTGATGGTCGCAGAGGGTCGCAGCAGGGTATACTCAGCACACCATGGGCTCTTTAATGGCATCGTTTTGAGTCCACCATACGCGAAGTTTTTAGAAAATGTATTCGCCCTATCTTCGTAATGTATTAGGAAAAGTTTACCCCACTGGTACGCCGGAGTGGGTGTAATGTTTGCTTTTATAATTTGCATGGAAGACAGGTTGGGTCTGTACTACACATTGAAATATATGAATATTCAATTCAAGATACCGCCTTAATGGCCACATTTTCAGGCCCCTGCCCTGGCCCACTATAGAAAAATGGTGCACATTCGGTTAAGCAACGAACAAGTCAAAACGATTCATTTCAATTTAATAAGATAGCATTTATGTAATAATGATAAAAAATCTACTATCCCTCGTTTAACGAGGGACACATGCAAATTTAAGGGGAATGTGTTACTCACGACGTATCTTGCTAAATAGCAAAACTCAAATTGAGTTAGCAGTTAGTGACACTCACAATCGAACCTTTTTTTGAGCTATGCCGGGATAATGTAACGAGTTATGTCAAAAAATCAAGCCACAAATTAGGAATCACATGGCACTATTACGTTGAATGGCCCCTTTGAAGAAACATATTGTGGGTCAAGGTAAATACTCACGAGCGCCTTGGTTTTCGGCACTGGGAGGGAAAAGGAGAGAAAATTTGCTGAAAAACTGTACTTCTAAGCCAACATTTGTCTTCAATGGGGACATTCAAAGGAACGATAAGCGCCCTGTGATTCTTACTTTTAGCTTAATTTTTTTATATAAATAATTCGCTAGAAAATCTCGGTGCAGCTTGGATAAATGTTCCATTGTCCGTTTTGAATTATAGCCCCCGCAATAAATAGAATATTTACGGTATATATGTACACAAACTTGAGATGCTTAAGGTCTTTTAGTTGTGGTCGCAAACAATGAATGCCACGCAAACGTAAGTCTCTCTTGGCTTCCCATTGTGTTGTACGGCGGAGGTAACGCGGAGGTCTCGGGTTCCACCCCCATCCCGTCTGTCCTGGAGGGGAGCTGAGCAAAAATCAGGATAAAATACTAACACGGGGTACTGAATCTGAGAAAGTCTGTGTCCGGCACAACAGAAGCAGCAAGGCAAAAGAGCGTCTGTGGGACACTAAGTGAAAAATTTGAAAGTTTGGCAAACTAAATCTAGAAAACACGGATAGAATTTTTTTATCATTTCTTACGGGGACACACATAAATTAGGCCATCTAAAAGTTAGCAAAAAGGGGGCGTCTAAAAAATCGCGTAGTTTATGAACCGCCCCTCACTTGCTTTGCTCCTTCTATATTTTTGTTGGGCACAGACTTGCACAGAATCAATACATACCTATATCAACATGTCAATTCATAAGTTTTGTAAATATCAAGTACTTAAGGCTACTGTGGATGGTGCGGTAGTCTCGCTCTACCCCAATCAAATGTCTTTAAATGCAATTTCTAAAATTGAATCAATTCAATGAGTTTTGAACATACTGAACATTTTCAACATTTTGAGCATACAAGTCGTTTTTTAACGATAAATTTCCTGAAAAAGAAATTCGATATTTTTTTTAATGACTTGTTTATAGTACCAGAAATTAGATTAAACTATCAAAACTTGCATTCATCTCAAAGCTCATGGAATTGACTAAATCTTAGAAATTACATTTGAAGACGTTGAACAAGGGTTAGGTGATACTAAAAACTCCATAACGAAGATATGTACGGAGCCGTAAATCATGTCTTACCATCCCCCGTAAATCATGAATGGGTAGTTGCTCTGACGAGCGCTTCGTGTTCGTGGCATTGTCCGTAACTTTAATTCACTTTCGGGTCGAAAAATCTCCAAATTTGTGGGTGGCTTTGGAATGGATGATTCTGTACGAACAATGTCTACGTTCGCATCGGGTGTTATCGGGACGCAGAAAACTATTGGAGTTGATAAGAGGATAAGTATTGTAGTAACCTGTTTGATAAGACACAAAGTTATGAGAAATTTATAAAGATTAAAGATGAGCAAATTAGGTATGCGTGAGCAAAAAGTGGTTTTCCCCACTTTGAATCGACTAATTTTAAATTGTTCACGCACAGAAATCCTACCTTAATTTTTGTTTATTTTTTAATGTGCGTTTTTTAATTTGCCGGAATCAAGTAAGTAAGCTTAAAAGAAAATGCCTCCATGTGAATGAAAATCTTCATTCAGACATTAGGATAATCCTAAGTTTGGAATGAAAAAAATGATTGCAAGTACAGAGTGGTTAAAATGTCAGGCTACAGAGGAAAATTTTGCAAAAGGGAAAAGTCCCTAAAACTCAATTAGCTACACGATTTGGGATTAGAATTTGTATTAATTATTTTAAAAAATGATGACAAAATTCGTCAAATGTTAACGTTCAGAGACTAAATTTCGGTGACTATGTAATGGAAATGTTTCCCATTGAAAATTTTCCATTGTAACGTGACATTTCAACCACCCTGTATACATATGTACGCGGATACTGCCCATAATTAACCCTGTAGGTGTCTCGTACAAAGGAAAATAAAAACTTGAAAGTTAAAAAAAATATGAAAACATGGAACTACTGGGTTAGAAAAAAATTAAATAATTGCACAATAGAAAAGAACAAAGACACAAGTTTACCAGCAAAATTTTTGTGGACGGACTTCTTAAATAATTTCCCATTTTTTAGCGACTCAACTTCAATATACTTGACAGCTTGGGTGGAACAATGAGACTGAAAATGTCGATCAAAACTAAATTACTCCACGCTTCATAAGATTAAAAATTACCTGTTTTAGATTCAGCGACATGATAAACGTTAATGGCCATGAGTGGTGGAGTATGTACATATGTACATATGTTGGTACATGTATCAGGTAAATAATACACTCTTAGAAAACGGGTATTAAATCTTTACGTAGATATGTATATGTAATTAGTTATGAATCTGTACATCACTCCATCTTTAACTCTCAACTAATAAATACTCTCCTCTGTCTCCTCTCACTGTGTACCACTTATGTATGTATAATCATATATACATAACATTGGTGGACCGTCGAGTACTTTCTTTCGCTCCTCCCACTCACAATGGATTTTAAAATTTTCAAAATTCTTCGCAAGACATATCACCTACCAAATTTGCTACGACTGCGACGACTAAGCAGCTTGACCACCGCCCCTTAGGAGGGGAGCTTGCGAGGTTGATAATAACAGATATTGGTGCCCTTTGGATATGTGGTAGGGACCCATGAGTGTACTAAAACCCTGAAGTAGTTTGACTCCATGGCCACATTTGCGCCCGCCACACCCACTCAAAAATGTCCAAAAAACGCTTTCACCCCAGTTTTCACTCACTCAAATCCACGCCAAAAATCCAATTTTACTCGGATTTTGAAATTTCCTTCACCATTATACTCCCAGATAGTTGCTTTCTTCAATCCAATGTCAAACTCAATTTTGATGATGATTATTTCGCAGGCATAATTTGAGTTGTTGATTACTACAACAATGCTCATTCAGAATTTTAAATTTTAAAAATACTAAAAATTTCGATGGTTGGTCTCCAAATTATTTAGAGTACACAAATGTACGCTTTGCTTGAGGTCGTGATTTCATATTACCCGATACATAAACACTACGACATCCTGCAAAAAAAGTTACAAAGTAGTGCCTGCTCTGGATTTGGGGTACCTGAGGGATGCACGGGGACTAATTTAAATAAGCTTATTGAGTACCTTGCACGTAATGATGCAGCATTTCGCTGGTACTAAGTCTGCAAATGCGTCAACAACTAGTTTGTTCAAAGACAAGATGCACCATAAACATTGCAAAACTCGTTTCACTTCAATTAATGGATTCTTAAACTGCTAAGGTTTGTATGTCGCCATACATTTCGTTCATTTCACACCCACTTCGAGACGGCAATAAAATACTGACGGGTAATATTAATTCAAATTTTAATACATACATTATCTTGATACATAAAATTTGCATATTTACATATGTACATGCACGCATTGTTTAACTCGATATACATTGTACAAATCCGTTTGCTGGCCCACATCTTATATATGTAGAACTGTGGTCATAACGACGTATTTATGCATATATACCTATGTACCCGATTGATAAAATACAGTCTAGACGATAAGGTCAAATTTTCAGACTTTGTATGTACCACTATGGATCTTCTCTTGATTAGAGGTCTTATTAAGAGAATAAGAAGCACCATTTTTATCATAAAGTCAAGCAGAGTGGTTACTTCATGGGATCACGTGCTAAGTTTTACGAAAATTTTCCTCGGATTTTGTGGATTTTTGACGGTTTTTGGTAGGTTATTGTGTGTTTTTATGAATTTTTAATGGTTTATGTGAGTGTTTTTTTAGTTTTCTGACGTAGGTGCGGGGCTTTCCTGGATGTTTGTAAAAACTTGGAAGCAGATCGACATAAGATACATAGATTCTTTAAACAACTTGGATTAAATTTACTTAATTAAATTTTCGGATTTGGCATGAAATTTTGAGCATTTTCATGTTCGACTCGAATTTCTGTGTATCATTAGCATATATTTAAATGTTGGTTTTGTATTTGATTTCCTTGAAGCAGAAGGAAATCCGTGAGTACAGTACTCCAGGTTCCTTTGTCAAGCAGTTGAATCACATAGATATAAACAAATTTAGTCCGGCTATTACATATTAAATGCTTTCTTACACTTAGAAATCCGATATACAGATAGTCACCAGTATTGATTCCTCGATATTAAAGTTGTTACCGCTGGGTCTTAAAATGATGTTTAAAAATTTGCTAATAATAATAAAGACTTTAATACCGGGTTACTACTACACGGTATTACATATTTATCAATTCCACGTTGGTAGGGTCATATAGGAATACCTCGTAGTATTATTTTAACACTGGATTTCTAAGAGTGTACAAAACTTTTTCCTCCAGTTGAATCGTGTTGGCCAGACTATTGAAAAATTAGTTTTCTCCATTAGATTAATTAAAACTCAAAACCTGGGATCATTCATTGATTACGTTAAGAGATTTTTTAAACTTTTTTCAACTGGGAGTTGTTCCTCTCCTCCAAAGTGATTTTATAAAATACTTTAAATTTTTCATCGACATTGTCATGCCTCAGCCCTATTATATTTTGAGCAAACTCACTGACTGTGAATGATAGTATTTATGTATTCAGGCATGTTTCGTACTTCGTTCGCCTTTTATCGTATCTCGTTGGAATACAAACATTACATGGTGAACAGCAAATCAGCCTTGGTTTAAGCTACATTCATTCATCGAATGTAAATATATGTTTATGCAAATACTTGAGCCAAAGTATATACATAAATGCCTGTGAAGTGGACCTCAGTATCGCACTTGTAGCAAGATTCTCCACAACATTTTGAAACAATGGGTCTCGTCCTGTCCGTTGTGGTACGTTTTCTTATGCAGTTAAGGGGTATATCCGGGTATTACGGACATCTAAAAATGCCGATTTTTAACCTAATCACCCAGCGAACAGTCATATGTTACGGAAACAAAAAGGCGTATGGGTGGTTTAGTTTCCATTATCTTATCCGTGTCAAGCTTAACATGAGTAGGGTAAGGAGAGGGCGGGTGGGTAGCGTAAAAGTTTCGTTCTTTATGACGTAATATCGGTGTGGACGTTCCACCACTTTTTACCTATCTTACTCGTGCCAAGCTCACAGTGGCGGGGCCAGTAGTGGGCACAAGTGGGCCCGTGCCCACGTGAAATTTTGTGCCCCTTTACAGTAGATATTATTGAACTTTTTTCAAACCATAATGAGATTATGAGATAATCGTGGTGGACAAGAAAACAGTAAAGCTGGTTGGTCGACCCTTACACTTTGCATGCATATACTTATCTGGGAAGGCTGAACTGGAAAATTAGAACTACCGTAAAACCTCTATTTATAGCCCTATTCTAACTACAGCCGGTCTCTAAATATAGCCGGGTATAAAGACCAAGATTTCAAAATTTTAGCCGGGTCTCTAATTATAGCCGGGTCTCTAATTATGGCCTGTCTTGTCAGCTCTGTCCCCGTTCATAACCCATCCAAAAAATGAAGTAAATTCGGCGAATCCACGAATGGTCAAAATTTACAAGGCTTTTAATTTCATTTGACCAAGAATGCATCTAATCATGACAAAAAGTGATTTTATAAGATTAAAAATTAGCGCAGAACAAAATTTGGCCGGGTCTCTAATTATAACCGGTCTCTAATTGTATCCGGGTCTGTTACACTCAGTTTTGGATTTTAGCCCCGGCTATAAATATAGTATTTACGGTATTTGATAAAATTTTATGAAAATATTTTTCGTCTCAATGTCTTTCACAATTTCATTCCAAAAACTTTTGCAGGACGTCGTGTTTGAAATAATGTCCCTAACTTTGCATCGTTTTAGAAGATATAAATTGTTTAAAAAAGAGAATTAGAAAAGAGATAAAAAAAATCAAAAATTCTGAAATTATTATTTTCAAAATTAACCCCAAAATAATGAGAATTTAAGTTTTTTGAAATGTAGTTTCTAATCTCGATTAATCTGCAGCAATTATAGGATTCCTTTGAGGTTCATTCGAGGTGAAATTAGACAAATTTGAATGTTTATTATTCAAACAGAAATAACATTTGAAATTCTGGATTTTTAAACCTAAATCATGGTAAGGAGTTCAACTTTCGCATGTGAAATTTCTCAAACATCTCAAACACTTTTTAAATTTTTTACAAAATTTCATACTTCTTTTAGAAATATGGGTTTGTCGAAAACGCCTTTAAAATATCTCAGATGTTTTCTTAAGATATCGAGCCCCTCCACTGCCCCGAACATAAGTTTTACACAAAAATATGAATGACTTTTTCTATTTTTTTTAATCTGGCAGAACATTAACTAAACCTTAATCAAATAATGCCAGCACTATGGCTGCCAAATTCGAATTTTAAAAGCCGGATTTGAATTATTTATCTTTATTTTCGATTTCCTTGATGTTTGAACGAATCAGATAAATTTCAGATAGTTTGTAACTATTGGTTGCATTATAATATTCAATTGCAATCTCATCCTTTTTAGGGGATTTAAATATTTTAGAAAATTTTCTGCCCATGTCAATAATTTTTTGGCGAAATTTTCAGTTAATGGAATAAAAAATGTGACATTTAAAAAACTTAAGTTTGGTGTTGGATATCATAAGAAACAATCAAGGACGAATAATTCTTATCTAACCTTTATTTTTCTAAGTTACTTTTCGACATTTCATTTTTGGAATTTCAAAAAACGCTCGACTTTGGTTGTAGAGAAAAAAATTTCGAATCTTTTGTTGAAAGTAGCATCTCGATATCTTTTCCCATCATCGCGAAATCTGCGTCCCCGTTTGCAGTTTTTGCGACTTTCGACCCCTCCCACTGGGGCACTATTGGCACTGTGGCACCCACAAAAATCACCTCTACGAACTGTGCAAATCTTAACAAAATCAATTTTTTGTGGCCCTTCTGGTTTTCATTATTGCTACTCCATAGTGAAAATTCGAGTTTTTACCAACTTAAAACCTTCGCCATTCTGTGAATTCTGCAAAAGTGCTCAACTGTTGTTTGTATTTAGTCCCCTGATTTTTTAGTGCTGTTTTTTGGAAGATCTGTTAGAAACATGTCGGAAATGTACATTGTCAGTTTAACCTGGGCAAATGTATTTCGTAAAATTGAAATCGGGTTAAAATTGAAGACTTTACAGT